TCTCTCTCTCTCTCTCTCTCTCTCTCTCTCTCTCCTCTCTCTCTCTCTCTCTCTCTCTCTCTCTCTCTCTCTCTCTCTCTCTCTCTCTCTCCCTCCCTCCTCTCCCCCTCCCTCTCTCCCTCCTCTCCTCTCCTCCTCCCCTCTCCCTCCCTCCCTTCCCTCTCCTCCCTCTCTCTCTCCCTCTCCTCCTCCTCCCCTCCCTCTCTCTCCCTCCCTCTCTCTTCCCCCCTCCCTCCTTTCCCCTTGCTTCCTCTTCCTCCTCCTCTTTTCTTCTTCTTCTTCTTCTTCTTCTTCTTCTTCTCTTCCTTTTACTTCTCCTTCTCCAATATCTCCTTACCTCCCATGTTCTTGCTCACTTGCTCAGTTGTGCAACAAAAACAGTAGAATGCCATTTAACCTTTCTTTTTCTAGTAATGCTTTGTAAATTATGCATACATATAGTTGTTATGCTAGGTAACTTATTAAAAAATAGAACATATTATGTTACTTCATTTTTTTGCTTCAGGGCTTGAAGTTTTTGTTCATATTTGTTGATAATTTATTTTTACTTGCAAAATTTAAAAAGTTATCAAATTTACAGTGTGTATAATTTTTGTTGTGTGCATGTCACAGATTCTTGATAGTACTTTAGAATAGCTAAGAATGATAGCACAGTAGTCTTTGCTTTTTCTTTTTTTCCCATATTTTCTTTCTTTTTATTATAAGTAAAACGGGAAGTTTGCAGTGTGTACTTTGCTTCCTTTCACAGTACCGACAAGCAGTTGGTAAGGGTACTCCTCCTCAACTTCAGAAAAAACAGCTGTCTTTCATGGCCTTCGGTTTCGGTGCTGGAGGAACGGGTCCTGGCAGGCGAGAGTCCCATATCAACATCAATGTAGCTCCAACGTCGCATGAAATCAACGACACTCCAGAAATTAGGAAATACAAGAAGAGATTCAATTCTGAGATCCTCTGTGCTTCTCTATGGGGTAAGCTTCTTGTTCTGATAAGTACTGACATCTAAAGAGAAATTAAAAAGGGAATGATAATTTAGAAGTTGTACAAGTTTTTTTTTTTTTTTTTTTTTTTTTCTCTATTTGTATAATTAATTTTTTCTTTCTTTCTTTTTTTTTTTGTGATTTTGCAGGAGTTAACTTGCTGATTGGCACCGAAACTGGTCTTATGCTCCTTGACCGGTCAGGTGTAGGTAAGGTATATCAGCTAATCTCTCGACGAAGGTTCCAGCAAATGGAGGTGCTCTCTGACCAGAACATCTTGGTCACTATATCTGGGAAGAAGAACCGTGTGAGAGTCTACTATCTCTCTTGGCTCAAGTCCAAGATCCTTCGCACAGATGCTGTGAGTTGATTCTTCCTCTCTTTTTTGTAGCATTGTTGTGATATATATACATATATGGACAGATGTAGAAAAGTATGAGTGAAAATGCATATCTTCATTGCAAGAGATCTTCATATGAAATATCAGCAAAATTCCAAACCATATAAATATCATATGGGCTGAAGAATCACCAGACATCTGTGACTTGTTACACATTTACTGATCCTGGTGCTGAGACCACATCCTGTTTTACTGTATTACACTTTTGTCATAGTTGCTGTAGTGTATATGGTTTACAGTTCAGTCATGGTTGTTAGCAGGCGGCTTTCTTTCGTGTACTGTATCATGTATCTTTTCACAGGGTGCGCTGGCAATTTTTATTGAGTTACTAAAGTATCTGATAATTGCCTTGGAAATATTACATGGTGGAATTTTGTAGTAGGTACAGGGTCTGATCACAGTCTATTCATTATCTTTCCTGCCTTCTTTCTGGGGGTTCAAAGGAAACCTCTGGGGTATTTGTGCTTCATGGACAAATTCATTAGCATCTGATCTAAGCGCAATCTTCTGGGGATGATGACAAGGACATCATCTACATGCCAAAACCAGGTGAAAGCCTGCTGATTACATCAGGTCCAGGGCTGCATTTAGGGGGGAGCCCATGACAAGAGCACTAGTCTGCTGATACTCTTCCATGCGGTTTACAAGATTCATGTATCCATGCAGTTTCACAAGATTCATGTATTGGTGTTTTGCAGCACAAGTTCACTGTCAACCATAGAGGTGATGACACTCATCTGCTTGGATTGTTTCATCAGTAGGTACAAAACTTCATAACATTTTGATTCTGCACCCGGAATTCAGAATTTTTCTGATGGGATCACTGGAGATTTTTATTGGGGGTTCACTGATAACCCCCATTGTCTCAGTGATAAGTTTAACCAAACACTTAGCTAAACAGCCATTTAGAAACTGTAAGGCCGTGTTTGACTGGTGTTAAGGCATGTCATCACACATTAAAGAATCGTATTCATGAATTCTTCAAAGTACTAGCAAATGTTCTCTGTGGGGGCCTGTTGAGCTTCTTCCCTGTTAACTCAGGAGTGAAGGAAGGCTTTATTATTGCACAAACACTTTTCAACACTTGCATGGACTGGATATTGGGGCAGAGCTACTTTCCAAA